AGGATTTATTCAGCAAAATTTTGTGGTGACGTCATAAATTTTTTAGGGGGGACGACCAAATACATTTTGATCAAAAATTTACCATGCTTATGATAATTTTAAAATATCTTCAAGATTTCGAAGCATTCGGTTTTGTAGTTCCTGAGTAAATCAGTAAAATAAATTTACGCTTTCATTTATTTTCTTGAATCACCCTGTATATGCAAATCCAAAAAATATGAATGGAGTGATAGATCACAAGTACAGACTGATCATATTTTGTACATTTTAGATATGATTTATTCGGCAAATTTTCGAGCTGACGTCATCAAGTTTTTGGAGGGGATAAGCAAATATATTTTGACTAAACATTTATTATGCTCTTTATAACTTTCAAACATCTGCAAGATGTCAGAGCATTCCGTTTTGTAGTTCCTGATTAAATCAATAAAATATATTTACGCATTCATTAATTTTTTTGAGTCACTCTGTATATGCAAATCCAAAAAATATGAATGGAGTGATAAATGACAAGTACAGGCTCATCATATTTTGTACATTTTAGATATGATTTATTCGGCAAACTTTCGAGCTGACGTCATCAAGTTTTTGGAGGGGATAAGCAAATATATTTTGACTAAACATTTATTATGCTCTTTATGACCTTAAAACATCTGCAAGATTTCAGAGCATTCGGTTTTGTAGTTCCTGATTAAATCAATAAAATATATTTACGCATTCATTAATTTTTTTGAGTCACCCTGTATATGCAAATCCAAAAAATATGAATGGAGTGATAGATCACAAGTACAGACTCATCATATTTTGTACATTTTAGATATGATTTATTCCACAAACTTTTGAGCTGACGTCATCAAGTTTTTGGAGGGGGTAAGCAAATATTTTTTGACTAAAGATTTATGATGCTCTTTATAGCCTTAAAACATCTGCAACATTTCAAAGCATTCTGGTTAGCAGATTAAAAATTAAATTTCAAAATGTTGTTTTATAATTTTGATTTTTTTTCCAAAAATCTGGACGTTTCGGGTGAAAAGTCGATTCGGAGTTGTAAACTACATGTGTAGAACTATGTTATTTTATACAATTGAAAACCCATTTACTATGTACAATTTTGAAGTGACGTCATCGCATTAGTGGTGGGGATGATTAGACAAATTTTGGTTAGCGTTTTACCATCTACATGATATTCTTAATATAAGTACAAAATTTCACAACAATCGGTCGAGTACTTTCGGAGATTATCTGTCTAATAAAAATCCGGGGGCAGACGGACCGACGGACGGATGGACAGACGGACGGACAGACGGACAGACACACGGAAATGGGAGACCTATTTCTTCGTCTTCTAGGGGTCATGAAAGATCGAGAAAACGTAAAAGTAGAGAGTCGGCCGACGGACTCGATTACAATACTTCCTTTGCTTACGCTCGGGAAGTAAAAATGAAAAATTGAAGAATTGAAGAAATGAAAAGTTTATCAAAGTCAAATTTGAAAAATTGGAAAAACCTAAAATTAAAACATCAGAAAATTGAGAAATCGAAAAATTAAAAATCGTGAAATTGAGAAATTGAGACATTATAAAATTGAAAAATTGAATAATAAATAAACTGAAAAATGCTAAAACTGAAATTTCGAAAAAACTCAAAAAAGTAAAGTCGAAAAATTGAATCCTTAAAAAATAGAAAAAATTGAAAAATCAAAAACCTGAAAAATAAAAAAATTGAAGAATTGAAGAACTAGAAAAAGGAAGTCAAGAAATGGGAAAATCAAAACATCGATTTAATGAAAAATCGAAAACTTGAGAATTTAGAAAAGCCAAAAACTGAAAATTGAAAAATCGAAATATTTAAAAAGCGTAAAATTAACGAGAAAAATGAAAAAACGTTAAATTGAGACATCCAAAAATTGAGAAATCGAAAGATTGAATAATAAATAATCTTAAAAATCCCAAAACTGAAATTACGAAAAATTGAAAAATGAAAGAAAAATTGAGAAGCCCTAAAATTCAAATATCTAAAAACTGAGATTTTAAAAAATTGAAAAAAAGTGACGTGGAAAAATCGAAATCTTTAAAAATAGAAAAACTGAAAATCAACAACTTGGAAAATCGAAAAACTTAAGAATTGAAAAACTGAAAATTCTAAATACATGAAAGTCAAGAAATGGGAAAATAAAAACATCGATTAATTGAAAAATCGAAAAATTCAGAGTTTATAGAATCGAATTATTTAAAAGTCCTAAAATTAAAAACGAGAAAAACTGCAAAAAATGTAAATAAAAAAATTAATAAAAACCCATGCAAACTAGATGCCAACGTTACCAAAAGATAAAAATAACTAGACTTTTTCGAAAAATTTTATTGCATGATAACGGTTCTAACAGTATTGTTAATTTGTGGAATTTTGCAAGTACCAAACACAATTAAAGCATTCTTAATTAAACAAAAAATAGTTGCATGTTAATAATTAACATGCCACTATTCTATCGAAATAACCTTTAAACAATTTTTCTTTAGAAGTTCTTCAGTTTGCTAATTTGCTGATATCCGGATCACCACTTATAAAGAAAGCAGATTTAAACAATAAGTCGCGTAACCACAACATAGAAATGTAAATATCTCCGGTTCTTTGGGAAAATGAACACGACAAACATTCACACAGTTCTTTTGGATTCTTTTTGTTACTAACCCTTTTTATCTTGAAAATCATATATTATTTTTACTTTTCGAGCAGTAAATTTGTAATAATTGCCTAAATATCCAATGGGGTGCAAGAGATAATATTTTCTCTTCCATGACAACAATATTTAAAATAAACTTTGTTAAGGTTGCAATTGTCAGAGCTCTCTTAAATCAACGTGAAACGATGATAAAAATCTCAATTCAATAAAATAAAAATGAGATTCAATATTTTTATTACTAAATTTAATTCTTAACTTTAATAATATTTAAAATATACATGACCTTTTAATTAGTCTGAATGCCTATTTTAAAATTCCGTTACTTATTATTACAAATATTTCCAAAATATTGTACTATGCATACTTATTACATAAAGAACTATTTATATTTGCTTTTAACTTTAAATGAGTCTTTTAAATTACGTCCTTTCAGTGAAAATATTTGTTTGTCTATTGTTAAAAGGTAAGGTTTCAATATTGAATGGACTTTTTGATTTCTATCAATCTATCAATAAAGAAAATGATCAGTCATCATATAGTAAGTATTGGATGTACAATGCAATTATTGTTTCATATTGAAGATAAATGCATGCGTGACTATTACCTACTGTATGTTTGTTATTAAGGGCATTAAAAAAAAAAGATTACCAAAATGGATCGAACTGCATTCAGGAAAACATACTATCAAGATCGTCGTTTCGTGCAGACGATTTTAATTTTTTTTTTATTAATATCTCATCAAATTTATAAAAGCCACTTCCAGAAAATGAAATTACTTCTAATGATATTAGGACAGTAATCGCCAATTTCCTCCTCTGAATCCATTCGTAGTCTTGTGATATTTACGTAGGTATTTAAAACCTCAAAAGTGCTTCTTATTTTCAGAAAAGACGATAAAGGCGGTCTCAGAATAAGAATTAAGGAGTCTTATTAGTATTTCTATTTTAAAATGTTCTGAAAAACCTTTACAATTCAATATCAATATGAAGTTCGTCAGTAACATCCAAGGATCTGCGCTAGGTCCTTTGTCTTTTATTATTCACGTTACTGATCTAGCTTGTTTGAGAGTATATAATCATAAATGCAGTTTACCATTAGTAGTTTTTGAAACATAAGATGCGAGAGATAAGTTTAGTTAAACTTGACTCAGTAATTACATACTTGGAAAAAACCGTTCTATACAGATTTAATTTTTTATTTTAAACCAAAAAATAACTAAATAAATCTAGAAATATAAATATAATTTGTAATTTAAATTTAATTAAAGCTGTCATGTCAGTACGGCACTTGAAATAACAAGCACAAAAAACAAATTATATTAATAGCAGCAAAGTTCTAGGCCAATTCTTTTTTTATAGTAAATATATCCTTTGAAAATCAGGCAAATTAATTAAAGCATTGTTTGTGTTTTAAAAGAGAAAAAAATCTCTGTAAATAACTTACGTATTTTTTTCATACCGTACTCGGATATTACTAAAATTTTAATTTAACATAATATTATTTTTCAGGAATTTTACCACAGCGAAGGATTACTTAAATTTTATGTACTGGAAGATATAGAATATTATTATAGCAAATAATTTCAAACAATTTTAAGTATCAAAACTTCGGTACTCAGTCACTAGACCATTTTCAACTTATTCTTTAGTGTGACTATTCTCACAAAACAATTCATCAGTAATTAAAACATCATTAATAATTTCTGGAAGTTCCGTACTAAAACATGGGAAAACAGTTGTTCAGAGGTTTTGTTCCTGTTTGCGTTTTATGCTGCTTCCGTAGTGGTTTACCACAGGTATGTGTTTATTTTCATTCGTGGTATTTTTGGTTTCCCTACAGTATATCAACAACTGTTTCAGTAAATGCCTAAAAGGATCATTCAATGCATTTTTCATTATTTAAAACTGAGATCTCATCACTCTCATCAGGAAAGTACAAAAATCCTCTTATCTGTTGTTGAGATGCTTCAGAAAAAGTAAAAAAAAAATGACACATGAAATGGATTCACGTATAACCCACGCTCACATCCGTTTAGCAGAACAACACGTGTCTCTTGCAGGTTTAAAAGTATCACATATCGACCAGTGACTGGTAAACAGCGATTTGATATAATCCTTGTAAACAACAAAACACAAATCCAAGTTAACTCGATCTTGTAAGAGTTGGTGAAGTTTTTACTTTGTAGCAAACCGAGTTGGTGGCGGCGAAAATTATTACGGCCATCATAAACTTCCGGCACTTAAGTGCCCCAGAACACCTGAAAGACGACGTCCGGAAGGAAACGTCGACGTTTTATGTGTTAGGGATAAAGCACGACTTACCTCTGGCTCTTGGTTTCGTTAGAAGTTTCTGCACGATATTGTCATATGCCGACTCATCCGCCACTCCAGAATCCTTTACTAGTTTTTCCTTTACAGCGATACATATGTTGTGAGCAGCTAAAAGGTCCTCCAGTTCTTCAAAAGCCTGTAACATAAAGAAAACCGATTTATGAGACGAAGTGAACGGTATCGAACGGCTGTAACGCCAAATTGTGTTAGAAATTTAGATATAATACGTAAGATGGATAGTAAAAACTTGATTACGACCAATCCGAGTGAGGGAGCTGTGACAATCTAATAATGTGCGGCTTCGCAGGGTTTTTAGCGGAATTATAACTTTACTTATTGACGATGTTACGGTGTTGACGTTTTCGATAATGTTGTTACTGAAATTATTGAGAAAGAAGGATGACACCCACGCTGATATTGATTCAGCACGTTGTAGTCATAAATGTGGCTTTAATGGAGAGTAAAGTTTGAATTTTCCAGTTTGGAAAAATTTAGCTAAATTAATTTACAACGGACGGGGTTGTTTTTATTCGGATGTTTATGACGTCAGGTTTGTTAAAAAGTACGGAAAAATTTAAATTATTTTTTTAAAGTAATCCTTGCAACGCCACAAGCTGTTGTGATACGAATTTCTTATTATAAACAGAGAAAAAAACTCAATTTTAAGCTTACTAGCTAATTTGACATTCACAGCTTTTAGTGCTCTAAGCAATTATGAAACTTTTTGTAAAATTAAATGCGATGTTAATCCAAATTAGATATGGTGTCTGGAAAATGACGGATTAACTTTTCGCCACGCTCTTAACAATCAACTGGTGAATCTGAAAAGAATAGTAAAAAAAAATCTTCTCACATTTTGGTGAAGGCATAATAATTTTAAAGTTTGAAAGATTGGTTCCTTTGCTAGATTTAACAACTAAATAACACATTCATTATCATACACTCTGCGACAACTAATTAACCTCACCCCAAATTTTCTATGTTGTTGTTGACGATAAAACCCTTGCTGTTAATACTAAGTTTACATTGTTTATAAAGGAACAAACCAGCTGTAGCAAGATGGATATTAAGTGATTCGAGGACGAATTGCGAAAAATACAGGAAGAATTATCATTTCTTGACGAGTTTCATAAAACTGTTCAAACGGACGTGACTAGAAAGGCAAGAAATAACTATCGACACTTTTATCATTAAATAATAAAAATAAAAAAAGTGAACTATACCAAGAGTTTTATAGATAAATCAAATAACGAAAAGTAAAGCAATCTGGGAAGTAATAAATAGTAACCGAAATAAAAATTCATTGATAGGCAGTGCGGCAAACTGTAAAATAAAAACACTTCCTAAATCAAGTCAAGATCCCATTGACTTAATTATTAAGAACTGCAACAGGCACGGTAATAATTTTAAATATTTTAAGTTCTCAGAAGTCTCTAGTGAGGCTGTTCGAGATACTATCAGCAAAGTAAAGAATATCATATCAAAAGTTTGCTATAACATAAGCGTTAATATTATTAAAGCTATCAAAGACACCATAATTCCACCCATGACTAGACTAATAAATGAAGGCATAAGGACCACAACATTCCCAAACTGTCTCAAAATCGCTGCAGTGATACTAGTGCATAAAAAATGTAATAGAAACGACCCTACTAACTAGAGACCCATCTGCCTTCTACCAGTTTTCTCTAAGATCCTAGAAAGTATACTATACGACCAATTAAGTAACTTCCTTGAAGATGGTAATGTTCTCTCCAAAAGAGTAGTATGGCTTCCGAAGAGGTCGAGCTATAACCAAAGCCATTCTTGACCTCACAAGTTTTATTGGAGATTGCCTAAAACGCGGCAGATAGGTTTCAGTCACTAATAATGGTGAATCGGAAAAGCTACCAGTGGTACTAGGAGTGCCCCAAAGGTCAGTCCTGGGGTCATTATTATTTTTCATTTACACTAACGATTTTTCCTTCTTTCTAAACACAAAAACTGTACATTTGCGGATGACACGAAGTTATTAACTAATAAGGCTACATTCGCGGAGACCCTAAATTGCAATGAGGAAACATAATTCAAGGCAGCTCATTGCTTTACAACAAATAAACTAATCCTAAACAAAAATAAAACGGTTAAAGTTGCATTCACTCTAAAGAATACCGATCCACTAGCCATGGACATAGTCAAAGAAACAAATTTTTTAGGGATAACACTAGACTCAAAAATGAAGTTTCATACACACGGTGAGAACCTATCTAAGAAGATTAGTACAGGAAGCTTTGCTTTTAGAAATTTAAGTAGAAAGCTTCCGATAGAGACGTTAAAAGTAGCTTATTTTGCATTTATGCCATACACATATAAGTTATGGTATCTTAGCATGGGGTCACTCAAGCATGATGACTAACATATTAGATTACAAAGGTGAGCAGTCCGAGTTGTGGGTAGTCTTGGCTACAGAGATGATTGCAAGTGTACGAGTATTTTTCAAAAATTAGGATTCTTACGATGTCCTGCGTATTCATTTTAATAGTTTGATCATTATTAGATTAAATATAAGCACATACTGCAAACATAAAGAATCCATGAATACGACACACGACATAAGGACAACATATGTCTGAAAAGCATACGTGTAAAGTCGTTACAGAACAGTACTGAATACTTAGGTATCAAATTTTTCAACAAACTTCCTGAATCGATTAGAAAGTTAGATACAGTTAGTTTTAAGAAGGTTGTAAAAAACTTGCTGATTAACAAAGCCTAATTGCCCTAATGACTATGATGTGATGATTTCTTGATTTTATTATTATCATAAACATCGTAAATGACATTTCGGTTATCTCTTTATATTTTGACGAGTGTATAATATGAGTACATTTAAGCACAATAAATTGATTGATTGATTGATTGATTGGCGAGTTATAATGAGCGTTATCGGGTAAAAAAGCATCCCACAGTAAATGCAAGATTGTGGGAAACGCTTTTCCGTGCAACTTAAATTTATATTTTGTGCGAAAATGGCAGAAAGTGATGAAGATGCCAGCTCGGAATCGTTCTAAATTTGGTCCCTTTTATAATTGCATAGTAAATATTTCTTCTTGTTCCCATTCCAAACATGTTAAAAAAGTTATTGAGTGATTTATATTCGTATTTTTTAATTTATTAATAAAGAAACGGATCAATATTTTATTAATTCCTCGTGTGATATTCAAGGGATGAAAAATTCATTTGAGGGATAAACGTCAACGCTAACATTCAAAAAACTAGATTAAAATCAGAAAATCCAGTTGGTACGGCAAAAAGAATTTTTTATTATTTTTCTGGGATCCGAAAACCCTCGTGCATATCGTACTGAAGAGTTAATTGACCATTTTCCAGACACCTGGTATGGTTCGATAGAATGAATGGGTTGCAACAATTTAGGGTCAGTTTTGCGAATCACAATGATCCTATTCTATACGAATAGTTCACCACCTATGTCATGGTAGACGTTGAAATCAACAGTGAGAATGTTACAATTCATTTGCAGAAAAATTATTCTCACATAAGAAGGTACGGGGAAAGCCTCACTATTATTTCTTTGCTCAAATTTAACGTGGTTACTGAATACAAAGCATAGGAAGGGAAGGTGGTGATCCATAGCACTGCGAATTACTTAAATGATAATAATATGTATTTACTCCCAACGGGTAAGCACCCAATTACAGGAAATAAGAAAACATAACTTTACCTAATAGATACGGACAGTTTATTTTGTTATTGATAATATTATAAAGGAACTTAACACAAAAGATGATTCGTCTAGTGCTAAGTAGGTTACAATTAAATCTATTCAGTAAGGAATTATGGTCAGATCCTCGAGCAGGATAGATACCATCAATTATCATAAATGACACGTATTTTAAAAATTTTCGCTGTAAGGACTCTAATAAATTCCTATATATGGAATAAATCGGGTACCATATTATAGCTGCATACTCTAACCCGGAGCGTATTAGAGAATACGTACTACAGGGACAGCAATATTTGGGTATTTGTAAAACCGGAACAACTCTGATAGATAAACCCAAACATTTTATAGGCTTGCGCGATAGATTCAGTGGTATCAGAGCTGTTCAAAGAACTCTAAAAAAGTACTTGAAGTACCAAGTACAAAATACTACTTGAAATAGGGTTCAAGTAAAGTACCAAGTACTTACTTTCAGCAAGAGTATTTCAAGTATCAAGTACTTTTCAGATGTACTTGAAGTACTGGAGGTATACGTCAAGTACTTACAAATACTTGCAGTACTGAAAATGCTTCAAGTGCTTTCTAATTATTTGAAATAGTGTAGAACTAGATAACTTTTCCTGTTTTTTTAAAAAAGCTTAATATATTTTAGAACTGAATTTTTTAATACTCAGAATTTAAGTATACAATAATACATATTTCGCCACATAAAAAATTGCATAAGCATCAACTTAAATGCAGAATGGTAGCTCACTTATTATTAATACTATGTTATTTATAAACAATATTCTTTTGAAATACTTTTACATCTTTCTGTTGACACAATGCCTTCGACAAAATTAACGTCTATTTCTAATTTAAAATTTAAAATAAAATACATGACGGTGTTGTCTATGTATGCTTACTATTAATTTATAACAAAAACATCGGCGCTGTATAGTATTTTCTCAGGCTTCTGTTGCCTTTTTTTAATATTTTGAATTTTGGTTCACCACCAAAACGTTCTGATTTTTTTTTAAAATATATGAATTTTATGAACCGGTTCCGTGTTTAAGTTTGTGGGCAGTTTACAGCACCCTTAATCATTACCCATTGTGAAAGTGCACAGGGCCGGATTTGTGAAACTGAAATTTTTCAGAAAAAAATTTTAAGAGCAGTGCGATACATATACATGCTCGTGACATAAAAATGTTTAAGTCACTATGTTGCATTTTCAAAAAAAACGTATGAATTTTTTAAATAAAAAATAAAATGCCTAAAACGAGAGTCCATTTTCAGCGAAAACTATAACTCCTGAAAAATATCAAGGTGATCAAAGTAATTAGTCGTTTTAATTTGTTAAGATTAGCAAAAACCACTAAAAATCGTCATATTAAAGTTAATTAAGCCCAATTTGGTGGAAATTCAAATACTTT